TTTATTCTAATCGGATAAATACACCTAACACTTCATTCGTTAAAATTCTAACTACAAAACAGATTTTATTTCTTAGTAACTATTCAACTTATCTGTTTACTTATACGTCAAAAATAAAAATATAGCCATGCATGAGAATTGGTTATCTCTAAACTCACTTGTTAACATCTATATCGGTAAAAAAATCATTATTAATATAATTCCAGATAACATATCTACGAAAAGAAGTAAATGAGCCTGTCTCATCGATCAATGATCTCACCGCAATCCTGACCTTTCCTAATGGATATTGATCGTCTGGTGTAATCGTCTTATCTCCAAGCTTTCCGTATTATATCGCTGACCTTATGATTCACCTATTTATTCATAATATTTTCAAATTAACGCTATTTGTAAGTAAAAAGAAAAAAATACCTTTTCATAGAATTATGTAACATTTTAATTTTTAAATCGTATATGAATTTCAATTTATGAGGCATTAAGATTGTACAATCCAGCATACGGCTTTGTAATATTTTAATTTACATTATCACTTAAGTAATTATTTATCTCAAAGTAATTTTGCAAAGTAACTTTTAAGAGTAGTAATTTTGCTCAAAATAAGTAATTAGTGAAATATATGTATCATTTAGTGTTTTTATTGTTCAAATTAATATTTTTATAGCTTAGTAACAAGTCTAGTATTCAATATTGTTTAAAAATCAGGTTCGTTTCATTGTCTACTACTCAATACCATGTTTAAAACCATGTTCAATTTTACTGACTCAAGTTTGTTCAAATAGCAAACGTATAAAATATAATAAAATAATTATAAAGTAATAAGTGTATTATGTTTCAATGATCAATTATTTAATATGGGGACGCCACTATGTGCGTATTTTAACCCAAATATGAGCGAAGGATGAGTGTAGGATGAGGGACGCGATCTTGTATTCTTGTTAGTGACTAAGACCGACATATTCCTTGGACACAGCTGTTAATTAAAGCCCAAACAGCTAATGGCAACTAAGGGACCTACAGTTTACAGTGGAATCCGAAACACATTCTTGCCTTGGTATTAACGAATTGGTTTAATTATCAGGATAGTACTGCGGATAGTCGTAGTACTCACTAGTGCGGACGTTAATCCACACCAGGGAGTATCGCATCCACAGTGCATCTCTATAAATATCCACAATTCGTGATCTCCTAGTAGCTGGATGACGTCGCCACCGCCCCAGTCAACAATAATGTTTATTTGTTATTAGTAAGGAGTTAAGTGAATTTTATTATTCAATGTAATTTCAATTTATAATTTTTTTCTAGACAGAGTCATATTAAGTTGATATTATTTGGTGGTTATTCACAATTTTTAAGACCAGCTGAAATGTAACCATCCTCTGGGTATAGACTTGCAGAGTAAATTTCATAGTTGTATTAATATCGAGGATTTTTTTGAACAAATTTGCAGTGGTTGTTCTGAGGTTCAAAATAAAAAAAGGTTTTCAACCATTTAACATTAATAAATGTAGTGTAGATAAAAGCACCTAGACATCCGCAATATACCGAATTGCCAAAAAAGCTCATAAACATGAGGACTAACGATAACCGACTCAGTGAATGTAGCCCCACATAGTCTAATTACTGCCATGTGGCGTTGCCGTGTCTGTGAATATGTTAACAGTCGCCCAACATAACATCTGACCATCGATATACTTAAACTGAGTAACGTATTGTTTCATATCCATGTACTTAACAACTGGATTTTTTAGAGTAAAATCCAGTTGCACTCTTTTCTACCAGTTCATTTAGAAATAATGCAATTTGTAACAGCTGATTTAAAAAAAAAAACTGCAATTTATAATATTGTTCAACTAAGTGTGAACAATGTATAACAGCAATACATTGAATACACATTATTAAGTAAACAGTATTTTAAGTGTTCTAAATCCCATCTACTTATAATTTCATTTTAAAACAATGAGGTAAATAAATTTGATTGAGAAACAATTAAGACGACAACTAACTAAACGACTAAGTAACAATTACCAACGATTAACAACGAATTAACAACGAAACAATTAACTAGACGATTCATTTACTTATTATGAAGTGTCTAGATGAATCTGCTACAGGAAGTTATCCCATTATAACTTGGAACCTACCCCACCCTGTGCACCACATAAGAGGTGTTTCTAATGATTTTTTCATTAGTTCATAGTTAAATCATAATCATGTAAACTTGGAAATCCTTTCCTTCGTCAAGTTTTAATGTGTAAAAGCGGAAAGCGTGTTTTTAACAGCATCAAAAAATAAAATGGCTAAAGCAGGAATAAAATAATTAGTATTTCTGCAAAATTTAATTTTCCTGCAAGCCCTATTAGATTTTCTGCTTCTAAAAAAAATTACTTATTACCCATGTATTTTGTGGCTAATAAGAGTAAATAATGCTTTTATGAATACTTGTAAAACCCTAAATATTCATAGATGTAATGCTGTGTCAACAGGTAAGTATTGATCGTCACATACAGAATTCCATTAAAGTGAACATCTCATCAACTAACATGCAAAATGTTCGTATTGAATTGCATATACTGTTTGTATTTCGTTAGCAGTTTCTTCATTCATTGGCTTTATTGTGTAATATCATCAAGTATCATGTTCCGTCTCTTTGAATATCAGGAAATTTGGTCTGTTTGCTATAGAACTGAGTAAGGTTCATTTTATTTTAACTATTTTGTATTTTATAGGGTTTCCTTTTTCTAATGTATACACTCAGTAAAAATTGAAAAATACTATTTCGTAATTATCAAGTATTAGGCCTAAGTATTAAGGTCGTTATTTTTATGTAGTCTAGTTTGTTTGTTACCATTTAGAATCAAAGACTGTTTCTTTTTGTTATTATAAACTACTACCAAATGTTATTCAGTGACAATGTGGAATTATGTAGAATGTTTTCCTGTAGACTGGATTATAATGGCTAAAAATATCCAGCTCTCAGTTTCCATAAATTTCTTCATCAATTCCCGTGAAACATGTTTTAAAACTAAACTATCCTTTATATTTTCTAATGCACGTATGTATATTTAAGTGAAAACAAGCAGCACAAATAACATTAAAATAACACAAATTACTGCCAACATGGAGTTTGCCATGAGTAAAGTTGAATATCAACAGCCAAAAGCTAGCTGGGGTAGCAGAATATGTAATTGAAGTCAACCAAGCAGGAATGTTACCGAAAGGTCACTTCTGAACATGTTAGCAAATTAGAGCATATATTGTTTGTACAGGCATATCATAACAGAAAAGTCTCAAAACCAACGGGTCAATTTACTTTACTTTAAAACAATCTTTGGTAATTTAGAAACAAATCATTTCTGGAAAAATATCTCTGACATTTCAATATTTCAATATTTATTCTGTAAAAAATGTTTCATAAATGTATATGATATTACATATGTATTTTTTAAACTAATACATGTGTTATTTAAATAATAATGCCGCATAATTAACTTGGCTTCAATAAGAAGATGTATTATTTTAAAATACCTTAAGCATATTTCTGACGTCCCCCAGCTATTGAAGCTAATAACTAAACCATCCTTATTTTGCACCCTTTGTAACTGCCTCCTTTGGTTTGTTTTATTTTGTAAAGAATATAATGAAATAGCAAAAAAGGGAAATATACTGTATGTAAAAGTGGTGATTAAACACACTTTTTTTTTGTTTTCAGCTTTAATAAAAAAAACATTTACTATATAAGTATTTACAATCCTTAAACGTATGATATGAGAAGATATCGATAGTTTTATTATTTATGTACATACAATGATATTTATAAGAGGTTGATCGTATATAGGTCATGTTGCTTAAATAAATAACAAAAGTTGATGTTACTTGACGTAGAAAGTTGTCATTCTCTCTTATTATAGTAGTGATATTAATTTGTGGTATACAAAGTACGATAACGATTTTGAAGTTACAAAACTTACAAAATAAGGGATATGTATAAGAATTTTTACGGTTAAAACATCTTTGATTTCCGTGTAAAAAATTATAAAAATTAAAATAAAAATGTTGTCAAAATTTAAATGTTGTTAGATAAAAGATGGTAGAGTGTCTTATAGCTATCAACATGCCCATGTTTTTTTACATGCTATGTTTATAATAATTTTTGCTGACGTCACGAAACACCTTACACAGAAGTAGTTTTCAAATTATAAATTCTACCAGTATATCGTATTTAACCGTTTTTTAAGGTATAATTTCCATTCTCAAGAACTTACTTACATTGTGGATCATTCATTTAATAAAAAATAGTAGTTATTGTAAATTACGTTTCGTTAATTTGCTTTTAATTTAATTCATTTTCAAATAACTAATCGTGGTAAAGTTGTGAATGGTCCACAGCTGAGTCCAGCCGGTGTAATCTCAACTTGGGTTAAAATAATTATTTTAATTTTCATGCGGGGCTGTTGTATAACCCCACCTTACCACAACACAAGGTCCGACTGTAGTTTCGGTTGACTCTTTACAGGGTGTCTATAGTTTTATAGTTCACTATAATGTGTAAAATGTACCACTGTTATCTTTTGTTTCATTACACCTAGATGCGGATCTTATTTCAGAGCTGTTACTAGACAGCTCGTCCATAGTTTCACAGTTTGTTATCACTGATGTATGCACCGTTTCTGCAGTATCAGCTGTCATTATCACCAAATCACGGTACAGACGTTATTTCAGCCGTCGCTAGACAGCGTGCTCGTCCATGGTTTCATAGTTTGCTATCACTGGTGTATGCACCGTTTCTGCAGCATCATCCGTCCTTATCACCAAATCACTCTACATACGTTATTTCAGACGTCGCTAGACAGCGTGCTCGTCCATAGGTTCATAGTTTGCTATCACTGTTGTATGCACTGTTTCTGCAGCATCATCTGTCCTTAAAACCAAATCACAGTACAGACCCTACTTCAGCCTCGCTAGACAGCGTGCTCGTCCATAATTTATAGTTTGCTATCACTCGTGTATGCACCGTTCCTGCAGCATCATCCATCCTTATCACCAAATCACTGTACAGACCTTATTTCAGCCGTCGCTAGACAGCGTGCTCGTCCATAGTCTCATAGTTTGCTATCACTGTTGTATGCACTGTTCCCGCACCATTGTTAGTCCTTGTTAGAACGTCTTTGTTATGCACTAAGTCTTTGTTGAGAACTCCTCCTACAACTGTCATCGTAGTAGCTTCACTCACTGACATCTGTCTCTTCCGAAACTTCTTCTTACTTGCGCTCTTGGTATTGCATAGCCTGAAAAAAGTAAAAATCCATATTAGTAAAGTGCAGATTTTTACGCACTTTGAAACAAGTATTTGGATCAACTCGATTACCTAATAGTTTTAAACTGTTGAGACGAGTGATTAAACTTTATTATGGATACTGCAATCTTGATTTCTGTCAAGTGAAAAATTGAAATAAAATATTTTATTTAGCAATACAACTTGCCAATGTTCTTACCCAAAACCTAAATGGTAGTATCGGTTAATCGCTTTAAAACCTCTGGACTTTTGAAAACCAACGTTATCAGACTTTTATCATTATTGTCACTTAAAGAAAATCCTTTCGATTAGTACCCTCAAGTGAAAATCAACCATAACCGTAAAATGCAGAGCCTTTTTCCACATCGTACAACATTTAAACCGTCCAGCCATCCTATGATTTAGCAGAACCTCCCCAATGCCACAAAAGGGCTGGTTTTATCACCATCACAGACACGGTTTCTAAGACACGGTAGATAAGGTGCTAACCAGATGAATTTAAGCTATTTGTAAATACCACATTGTTTATCCCCCAACTTGATGTTAGTCAAGACTTCATGTTACCAAAGATCATATGTTACAAATATTTCGTAAGAAGATTAGCATTTCTCTTGTTGAATGTTTTTCTATACCATATAACCGTAAGATTAGGAACCATAAGAAGCATACGAAGCAACATTATATTTAACTACTTACTAGAAGCATTTGAACACCTAAGCTTACCTGATACTCTCCGTCCTGGTGTTTGGAGACCAGTCCTTGGTGTAGGTGAATCTCCGACCCATCGCCAGGTGACGCTCCTCCCTCCACGTGTCTAAGTGATGCCTGACTGTTGTCTGTACCTCTGAGTTTAGGAAGCAGTAGAACAAGGCCACGGTGAATCCCTGGACAGAACAAATCTTAGAAGAAAAAGCAATTGCTTAGTGACCTGAAAGGACACAGTTTTTGGATTGAGGATAGACAGAGAATCCACAGACAGAACACATCTTTTCAAAGACAGAATAAGTGAATCTTAGACATATATCCGTAGGAATAGATTTACAGAGTGAATGCTAAGGCAGAATGAATTTTATAGAGTAGGAATTACAGAATGAATCATCAAACAGATAAATTCAGATTAATGCCATTTTCGTATAGTTAATGCGTTTCTAGTATATAAAGACAATATACAGTTTTTTCGTCGTCCTAGCTTTGTATAAGAAACATAAATATTGAATATGCACTACAGAATCCTGATACAGTACAAAGTGCTCGTGGAGAAGACTAGAGATCCTTTGTGGTACGACTTGTGGTAGCAAAGTACTTAAACAAATCCTTTTTTAAAAGAGCTTTACTCAAACAGCCACCGCTAAATCAGGAGATAATAAGATTGGCAAACATTCTGATACAACAACTATTTGTACTACAAAATAACTAAACATATCAAATAAGCTCGTTTATTTTTTTCAAGCTGTTTAAATTTCTTGCTTGTGATCATAGTTAGTTGTTAAAAGATAACTATAATGACAAACAATTTTCTAAGGCCGATTTAAACTAATGTTTCGTAAACGGATGCTAACACCTGATTTTCAAGAGACTTGCCTGTGTAGAGATGAGTATAGCACGCACGTAGGCGTGTATGTTGGCCGAGAGACCAGTAGAAGGACCAGCAATCACCAGGATGTATGTGGTACCCAGCAGTGGTATCAACACCAGCAGAGCCTTAGCCGCCTTGCGGTATTGCTGAGTCTCAAGTGTGTTAGCTGAACGCAGCTTGGTTATCAGCACCTACAACCATAGCATTTAGTAGAAGGTATATAGTTGGCCATAAAAGTACACAAGAACATACAATGGTCAAGTACATTTTGTGCTATTGCTACAATGAAGTGGGCATTCATAAATTTAATGTGTTGTGTAAATATTGCACTATGTCTTCCTCCAGGGAGAGGGCACATGGAACTGTGTCAAGCAGTTCACTAAGGCCATACTTAAGGCTAAGAAGGTCGATCTCGATAGGCCTTACCCTTTGGAAAACTTAAGAAAGAAACACTTAGTGATATAGTTAAAAATACAGGAGGATGCTGAGGATCTCATTGTGCATAAATATATTTTTACCTTCTCCCTAGCAATGTCAAAAAGCTTAAACATATGTATTCCTAAAAGTGATCCTGCTAGCCAGATTCCAGAATATTATATGCCTTTTGGTGTAAGGAGATTTACTAATACAGCTCTTCTCCTCGCCAAGGTTATCCATATTCTGAACTCGCTGGTTGGATCTAATATTTTGAGGGTGACCGTAAACCATAATTTATTGGCATTATAACGTAGCGTTACTGGTTACTAATAAGATTGAATCCAAGCCTTCAAAAAACAAATACCTAAATTCAAAAGACCAAGAATTTAGGGTCCAAGGAATTATGAACCATTTTCAACAATGTTGTTTATTTGGTGTTTTAGGTGAGGTCTAAGAGTTAGGGTTTGAGACACCTTACATAGAAGCCTAAATGTACATTCCGCCAATCCTTACTTTTCTTAATAGGTGTTGGATTCACCAACCAAATATCATTGTTCATTCGAGTTATAAGAACTTTCTTTTTTAGAAGAAAAACCTATCCTAACGTGAAAATCCGTAAAATGATTCATTTTATTTATAGAATATATATATAAAACATTTGTTTCCATTGCAAAGCTTTTGATTTTTAAATAGAGAAAACAGGAATATGCCATATTATTTATAACGATGCAAAAGGCGAGGATAATTCGCTGTCGCCGTTCAATTACCGATGCTGCTTTCAGTCGCTCTTCAGATTAGATTACCTGACGCTACTTACTTGTCTGTGACGCTCTCTAATAATAATGGCTTAATAAAACAGTTTGGCGTTACATCTAGAGAACGTTTATAAATCTGATATAAAGATATTCAGTTTTTTAGCTCGGAAATATACCATGTATTTTGTGGCGTGGGTATTAAGTTCACACTTTACTTTTCAGTAAGATTTTAAGAAATATTTGATAAGCATACCTATATACAAATTCAACCAATATTTGATTGTTGAAAAAGTAATGCCAAAATATGCAAAATGAGTGATCAACGAGAACAAACGCGATTGGACACGAACATGGATTCATAAATATTCAATCTGAATCTGAAATATCCCAGCTTTCCATCACGAAAATGTCAAATGGTGACTTTAAAATACTATAAACCTACGTTTTAACTGTACCGAAAATAAAGATTAACAATTGTTTTTCTAGTATGATAACATTTTTAACTTATGTAATTGTTCAAGCTTCTAGTTTAAATTTGATTGTGAATGATGATGCTGATACGTTGTTCAAACTATTATTGCGATAATTTTAATTTTTTATCATCTATTGATTGTTTTAAGGTGTCACTTTGTGTATAAGAACTAGTGATAAAATGCACATTTTTCTCCTTCTACTTAAAACGTTTGTTATTTTCTTGCATCGTGTTCTTCAATTCTGGTCAATATTTGTAAACATCTTATCATGACGTTAGGTTGTCTGAACTGACTCATTTCAATACACAATTTTTTATCCAAAAACATAGGAAAACTGGGAATTACCCGTCTAAACAGCTGGATACTAATTATTATGGATATACAGTACAGTATTTTCACCACACTATGATGTTTTTAGCTGTATTACATACGTTAATTGGTGGCTGAAAGTTACGTTTTGCTGGTCATGCCAGCTGTCATCGTAATTTGGGGACCGAGCAGGTTTTTACAGCCCGGGGCCGCAAAATCAGCTGTCCGCTTACTTACTTAAAACATGAATGCATTTTAAATACACAATCAAAATCCATAGCATTGCAATAGAATTGTGTTATTGTCACCGTTGCCTAGCAACTGTTTATTTTTATTTTTGCTGATTCCTCAAATTTTATTTCTTTACATAACCTTAAAGTTGTAGTTGTTGTGTTTACTATCAGTGTGCATTATTAAAGTGGTGAATAGTGGTAATAGGGTATAGTGTGGTGAAAAATAGCGTTCGTACCACGGACCGAAATGGTTTTGCAGCTCTCGATCGATTTAAGTTCTCGACTTCGTCTCGAACTTAAAAACTATCTCGAGCCGGCAAAACCTCATTTTCGGCCCTAGGTACGAAATATACTATTTGGTAACTTGTGATATTTCATATATCTTTCTAAACTACGTGTGTTATATTGACATACTCTGGTTTATACTCTTCTACGACTCATCTTAAGAATTTAATTTTACTAATCGGTTATAGATAAACCGTCCATAAAAAATGTTTAAAGGCTAAGTACGTGTGCCATTTTAACTAAAACCCCTTATAATTTTAAATAAAATAACTTCGAGTAATTTAAATAACCAAATACAATAGTTTCATTTTCTTAAAAGATGTTTTTTATATTTATTTCAAAATGTTGCAAATGTTAGAAAGAAAGCATAAACCGGACGCTGGTGAATAAGGTCAACTTTACTGCGAAATAATTCATTCTCTTCTTACAAATTGTGCACTTTTCCTAATTGCAAAGAAGTAATTACATTATTCATTACTTTTTACTATAGATAAAACATTCTAACATTTCTATTGCATTTGTTTCAGACTTATAGAACATAAGTCACTTGTTTACTCCATTTCCTATATGAAAAAAATTTTTGAATTAATATCTTTAAATAGGTGTTTATTTTGTAAACACCTATTTTAAATGTGTTTTATTATTTAATATTGCTTGCTTTGCAATAAATTAATAAAATAAATAATAATGTATACTAAATCCTGTAAATACCTGATACAAAGGTAGAACTATACACATTCCATATAATTAATTATATTTCTACAAAATAGATCAATCATTTTGATTTGAAAATATTCTGTTTGTTCAGTTTTAATCACCCGTTCATTTGTAAAGGTAAAATACCGGTTGTCCTTGGAGCCTACACGTTCTAATTTATAAAACAATTAAATAACTACAAGGAAAAATTATAATCTCACAGTATACTAGATATTTAAATTACAATCACTTTGGTGTCCGAACAAATATTTTTGGACGATAAATAACTCTTCAGCAGCTGTTTGAAATTATACAAGATGGCCACTACCCTCCAAGGACTATTAATTTCGTTTACGGTTACCTATTATCATGATATGAAATGGCTTATATAATAATGTTTCACTTTTGTTGGGGATCCAAGTAAATCCTCCAGTTAGAGTTATGTTCATGGTTATAGTTATATACTTAACATTTGGCAAATAACTCTTAAACTACACAATGACCGTTAACAAAATGATCACGGAGGATTAAATAAACACAATATTAAAAGAGTGTATGAAATAATTAGAATTCATAGTTATAACAGAGTTACAACGACAATATTGCGGTTGTTGAACAACCACGAGACTCGTCACTGAAGGAGACAGCTGTGGTTATTTCCTGTCAATAAATTAACACGGGGTAAATTACATCAACGCTACCCTCCCACCATAACCCACACCCTTCCCTCCATAACCAATACCCTCTCCCACCATAACCCACACCCCCTCCCACCATGAGCCATTTTGATGTAATCAGAGAGAGCAAAACCTCCGGTTTAAACATGCATTGAAATATGTATGTAAATGTTATGTTAAATGCATTTTATTTACAAATTTACATTAAAATTTTAGTAATGTACTAATATGTTCCCAGATATCCTACCCCATGAAACCCTGTTTATTAGTCGAGTATGGTTTCAAAGCAACAATATGCTTAGTTTTCACGTAAATTATGATGGCAAAGTATTTTACTATTTTAATTGTTTTCCTATTAATGCGAGTACAAATTGTTTATTTCTTTCCATTTAGTTTAAATAAATTTGTGTTTTTCAAAACTGTAAGACACTTAGGCCAAGTATATTTAGGAGATGTGACATGTCCAAATAGAATGTCTAATAAAGCTGTGTTCCGTGTTAAACAAAAAAAAAAAAAACTAAAATATAAAGATCAACTTCTTTATTAGAAGACAGGAAGATACAACGTTTGACTACCAACATACTTAGCTAAAACTTATTTTACAACTATTTTATGGCTATAGATTATGTGGTTTCTTTGTGAAGAAACCACATAATCTAATTATACTTTATTTATATTGGGTGTTAAAAAATTAGACTAAGGACAGGCATTTTTCAGGCAAAAACCATATTTAACATTTTCAGGATGAAAAAAAAACAGCTGCTTGGATGAGCTTGAGCTTGAAATATTACTCAGTTAATAGAAACACATACATGATAGGCGTCATCTATTTAACTCACATGATATAAAAAATCACATAAATCACGTGTTTGCAATTCATTTTGCTGATGTACAGACATCACCTTTTACTTCTAAAAGGCTCTCTCTATATTTTGTTATCTTTGTCTGGGTTTCCTTAAATGTTTGTAACAATGTAAACCATATAACACTGTACTCCATAGCAGAATGGAAACGGACGAAAAATTAATTTAATATTACATTGTTACTATTCTAAAATGAATTATGACACTTTTTTCTGACACTTACCCACATGATCATACAGAGGAAGAGAAGGTTGATGGCTAAAACTGCAGCCACTGGTGCCTGGTAGATCCAGTCGTAGGGATGAGGAGTCATCCAGGGACAGTTGGCATACCTGCTTCGTACCTACAATGTAATAAAACCATGGTATGAGTCTTCTTGCACGTGTGTATTATTTAGTAAGTCACATATTTAATTGTATTAATGTTAAAAGTCCATAAGGCCTTATGTCTCACTTCTAATCGTAAATTAACTGGCATTATAGTTTGTGTCATCCTCTTTTCCTATATTAACTTTTAAATGCAGTTTAAAACTTTTTTGTTTTGTTTATAAGAGAAGTTATTGTTATTGTGAACAGGGTATTATTTTCTCACGTTAATCATAAATTAGTTTTACATTTTCTCTCAATATCTCAAGTAAAATAAAAAAACCCACCCATTTATCAATACTCTTTGACGTAAGTTTCCATTTTGAAAGAAAATTATTGGTTTTCTCACACTGATTGTACAATGTTATGTTAACTATTCTAAGAGTGTTTTCCCTTGAGGCCCTTTTACAATAAATAGTCTAGTAAATAGTTAATAGTCCTAAGCCTCACCTGAGGATCTACGTCAACGTCTGTCAGACCTTTGACTATTCCCCACACTGACACAACAATGACGGGGATCCCTGTAAAATAAACACTCAATACAGTTCACTAAAAATAACTTTAAATATAACTTGCTTGGACTTTTATTGAGATTTACAATTAATAGTTCTTATTTATGAGGTCAGAAAAACTTTACCAAACAAATTACAACTACTCACAAAAAATACATACTACTCATTTGCTTAAGATTTCCTTTTTGTTTCACAACGTATAATTTACCCTTAACCACACAAAATTAACCCATTTTCACTAACTTAACCTTTTTACTGGTAGTAATGTGAACAACTGGGTACTAAATGGTTATAGTGCTCGCCTGGTGATCAAAGGTCACTGGTTCGATCCTTAGAAAATATAGCAGCTTTGTAATGATTCGAAACTGGACCCACCTGTCCAGGCTGGAATGGATGGTTTGGAATGTAATGGATGGATGGTTTAGGCTAATCAAACAATTTTATTGATCGCAGTCAGTTGCATAACACAATGTAGCTAACTTTATTCTATATTTATCCTTCACTCATATTTGGGTTGAAACACCCTTGATGGAATACACTTTCAACGGTCAATACAAATTTGTATAAACTTAGTAAAAGTTTAAATGTATAGTGACATATTTTTCACCTGTAATCCAAGTAATTCAAAAATACTTTCTCTAAGGAAGTGATATTTTCCATTTTCCATAAATGTTGTATGAATATTAGCTGTATTAAACATAAACCTACAATGAACTTGTCTCTAAACAATTTCAAAACATTCCAAGGTCTTATAAACAACTAAAAAAGAGAAATCTATATATAAGATGTCAACAACCGTGAAGTAAATATTTACCCCAACCAATGACGATGTAAGCCCTCAGCTTGATGTTGTCCCTAGTAAAGGTGACGACGACCAAAGTGTACAGGTAAAGACCTGAAAACAAGTGCCTTAGTTGAATATGTTTAAATTGTTTGATTCTCAAATTATCTACAGAATATTGAACCATAAAATATTTGCATCTACTAATTTACAAGACGAAATTTTAGTTAAGTATGACATTTAAAGTATGCAGAATGTATAACAATATCAAGTATAAAGTTTGTAAATAATATGAAACAGAAGTATGGTTATGGTTATATGGTTAAAGATGATGAAAGGCCGTTGCACCTAAAAACTCAAAAATTGATAAAATAATGTTCAATTATGAAAACATGGCAACCTTAATCACAACATAAAAAATGTTAGTAATGTTAGTGTAAGGCAAAACAAAACCTATCCCATATGACTAAACACCTATCCACAAAAAAATTTTACAAAACAATTGAATACTGTAAGCTAAAAGAGTATAAGAAATTTACCCACCTAGGGTATTAACAAATAATTATTTGTACAGAATGTAAATTTTACTTTTCAATCTTTCACATTGGTAGTCTAACACTCTTAAAAAGAGTTTAATGGTCGATGAAAGAAGTTAAAAGAACACTTTTTTGTTGATATTACTGTTTTATATTTTTAATATTTCCCAAGTCCAATGAAGAATTACATAATACGGTTTTCATAACTGTGTGATTGATGGTATATTTAGCTTTTAATTAAATTAGACTTCTTAAATTATATTAATAACAAAGCTCGTGGGAATATTAAGTGTAAAAAACATTTGAAAACTTAAAACAGAAGTAAATTAATTGAATTGATTTTAATTGCATATCCAGCAAACAAATCCAATTTGTGGAAGCAGTGTAATGAAGTTTAAACGATTCGCTTGAGGCAACCAATTCCATCTGAATGAAAAACACTTAGTTCACACTTGAACGATTCTCAGAGTTGAAAGGCTGTTTGGCTTCTTCGAACCGTCTCTCTTTAAACTCCTTAGCTTTTCTATTGAAAACGACGAGACGGAACCAAAGGCTTTACCAGATCACTTCGACTTAATGCAGTGAGCTGAATTTTACGTCACTTGCATATTTATGAGTTTTACGATCTGTTTAGTTAAATTTTTAATTTTCAAGTTATAACAGATTTAATTATTTTAAATTCCAACCATGCAGTTAAAAAAGGTTTGGATAAATAAGCTGAAAGCCTACAACAACTTACAGCGTTGGATTTTCAAGGCGAGAGCTGAGGCAATATATCTAAATTATAAATCTTTGATTGTAGAACAAAATTTGCATTGCTCACTTTGTAATTTTCAAGAGGACGAAAACATTTTCCATTTTGTAGGCAGATGCACGGTGTTGGCTCATATAAGAAAGAAACATTTTTCTAAACACGAATTGGAGTGAAAGATTTTACGAATGGGAGGGATTGGCGCGTGTTGGGAGGGTATTTAAAGAAGCTTGACATTTTAGGTGGGGATTGATAAATAATTAAGTTTGACGTATAAAAATTATTCGAAATTGTCATAATTGTGTTCATATTAGGGCAATAGGAAATTAATTACATTCAAGGGGAAATTCACAAACTTTTTGACCAAATTTTCCTTTGGGGGTGGGGGTATTTATTTTAAAATTTATATATCTAAAAATATATATGGTTGTGAGCCAGTTATTTTAATTTTTTAGTCTTATTCGCTTAAATCAAACATTTTGATTTCTGAAATTGTAATTAAGTAAGTTCAGAATTGAATTTATAGTTTTAAATCATAAAATGTACTATAAAAAAAGGTATTTATGTCAACCACGTAGACGGTTCTATAACGGTTAACATTTTATTTCATGCTGATATGAAAACATGTGAAGTTTTAAGTAGGAAAAAGTCTAAATCAGAATAATTTGCTCTCAATTAAATTTACGTGGAACATTCTATAGTAATGAATTGTACATGTTTTTTTTTGCATTTAACACATGTATTGTGTTATTATGAATACGTCAGATGTTAAGTTGATTCCGAAACAAATTCGATTTAATAACAACGGTTTGTTTATACGACTAACCAAAGATTATATTTTAAAACTTACCTTCAACCAGCATCCAGAAGAAGTTTGTCAGATAACAGTAATGAAGAAGAAGTATGAGCATGACACAAGCTGTCAGATCCATCTGTACTGTCATCTAGAACATTCCGTGAAAATAACAAATTATTATACATTCGGTATAACCAAAAGCAAATAAAATCCATTATTGCATGCGTATTAATTTAATAATCACAACTGTGTGATATTAAACCACAAAACAGCGTAGTGTGGTCTGTTTAGTTGGTATGTTCAATTAGGATTATGGTCATCATTTATACGTTATTATTGTGCCAAAAGGGTTACCAACATTATTATTACATTACTGGTCTAAGATTGGGATGACGTACCTGTACTATAATGGTGAGGATCCACATGAAGTCCGCCAACATGTACGTGAACATGAGGTTCGTGTGAATCGTGTTGCGTAGGCATCGCAAATCTCTGAAAAATAGTAGTACACTCTTGGTATAAAATGGTTTTACCGTTATTAACAATAACATACTTAGAAATCAAATGCTTGTATTTTTATTTGACGAAAGAAAAGTGATTGTCTTAATGTATAAAATATTTTCTTAAGCTGCTTTAGATCACTTTTTGAAGATTATAAACCATCTATTTTTGTAGTCATTATTTTTTTACCCATAACATTTATATTTCCTTGCACAATCCTGAAAACCAGTTAAAATTCTCAATCAAACGAATGCATTGTACTACATCTTAAAACGTGACAAATATAGATTTAAAATATAAATATCTAAATCAACTACCATCAACAAATATTTTAGCAAATCATTTATCCACAAAACTTATTTGATTTCTTTTAACTTGGACAAGGGAATTGATTAAGATAAAACGTTTAAAACTTAAATTTGGCAATGAAACATTAGTCACTCTATTAAATATACATTCATATTTTTATATGTGTGTTTTACTGTTATTTCATCAATGACAAAGATCACGAAATGGTTAATAAAATACGTAGTTACATTCACCCTATCATTATTAGAACACATTTGATACTTGAACATGCATTCGGGATCAGAGCAACATTTGTTTGTTAGTCCAAATTTGAGTAAATGCTACGAAGGCGATCCTCTGCCCTTGTTACTGTTGTGACACAAAGGTGGATAGAAGCCAATTAAAGTTGGAGACAACGTAATTAGCCTCAGAGTTGGCGCTCTCAGACCAATTTTAAGTTACTGTTTAAAGCCGCCTCGTTACCTACTTTAGTCTTTGTTTCTACACAAGCAAATGGATTATCCTTCACGTAATTATTTAACTTTTCCTTCTCTATGAACTTAATTTACATACTCTAGGTTTATCTGGCTACCGCTTTTTAGAACAAATATATTGGCCAATTCATGTATTTCTTTTAATCTTTAGTATCTAATACTACAGCTTTAAACATTAAATACTTTTATACTTTTTATACTTTTATACTTTTCTTTGAAATGACCACCATACAAAGTAGGTATTTTAAGCCAAGTATGAATGGAGTGAATGGAGTGTGAATGGTGTATGATGAGTGGCGCGATCTTGTAGTCTTGTTAATGACTAAGGCCGACATATTCCTTAGACACAGCTGTTAATTAATAGCCCATACAGCTAATGGTGACTAAGGGACCTACATTTTATAGTGGAATCCGAACAACCTCTTTCTTTGGTATATACGAATTGGTCTAATTATCAGGATAGTACTGCGGATAGTAGATAGATATACACTACCACGTGACCTATTTATTTACATTGTCTTTACCCAATGGTTTCGTAGTTCTAAATTCGTTTTTGTTTTTAAAAGATCCATCAACACATAGAGAAAAACATAAATAAATTTTACCAACAAACACACATTAGTATCTCTCCAGTTTTCGGGTCTATGCATTTGGATGGGCAACAGCACCGACACAGCCAATTAAATTAAACCTTTAAGTAACAAGGTACTAAACCGTTGTACCATTAATCGTACTAAACCAATAACCGTTGTAAAAAACCTTGTAGTACAAGGAGTTCATAACCTAAAGAACAAAACGCGTTCCGCAAAAACCGTAGGCTCAAGACTGTAAGTAATACGTTTGGGAGAATTTGGTAAGGAAGTTATTGCAATAAGCTAAAGAACCTTATAAATTCTTACTAGTCCATTTAACGTTAATACCTCTGAACAGCAAAAACAACTTTGAACTCCTTAAGTATCTGCTGAATATGAATGTGTTTGTGACCAGTTTCCGTCTTCTTAATTTTACATTTCGCCTTAACAATTCTGGTGGACTCTTTTGAAATTGCTTACTAACTAGCCAACAAATGAATTCTCCTTTAGGATAGCGATAATGATTTTAGTTTAAGAAAGGTTAGCACGAAGTGATGAGAAGCTCGATTTACTGAATGAGTCAACATTTGATTTATTCAGTGACGGAAAATTCCATTTTACACATACACAAAAAAACGGCTAAAATGCTGATAGAAAGTGATAATAGTAACATTTTCAGACTTGATTTACATTTTGTGATTAAAGATTGCAACAGAGAGGAAATAGCTTATACACTAAATATATCCATAAAATACTAAAAGTCAATAATAACCATTGAACAAACAACTATCAAAATAAAAAGCTATGTATATAAGCTAATAATAATGGAAAAAGACAACAAATTAACAATAGACTATTTCATATACTAATAGACAGCAATGATAACAGCATTCAACAAGGTCCTAAATTAACATATTACAAAGCAAGATGGCATGTAGGGAGGATATTAAAAAATTCAAAAAATATTCGACCAAGCAAAAAATAAAAAAATAAATGCAATCGCTGTACCAACAGCTACCAAAGCGAAAAACTTCTTTAGCCCATTTTAACAACCATAATAATTCATGGAAGCCGAAATTATTTTCCAAGAACACATTTTACATATAGTCCCCTTCAACTTACTTGAAGTACACAAATATCCAGACGGCCAAGCCGAGTGCCACCAAGGACATGGTGTGACCTCCAAAGTAGAGGATTGTTGAGACTTCCACCCCCTCCCCTTCCTGCAGATCGTTATCTGAAGACGCAGGTTGTTCTCTGCAAGTCGTGTAGTCCGTGTAGTTGTCCCACACTCCGTTCTCGTGGCACCATCTTGTGGCGTTCTCTGCAACCAGTGTAAATGTCAGTGGAGTTGAAAATTTTTAAGTTTTGCGTAAAAAGATAAAATATGAAAATTGACTAAGTATTTTTTAGATGCTTGTACGAATGTGACCAAGTATGACCATGACTATAGTATGACCATAGTATTGACTACACCTGTTCTAAATGTGCAATTGAACTCTACATATTATTTTGAGTGGTCGTTGGCTGGATTGCCAACAAATTTGTGATAATTATGACAGGACTTATGGGCATAAAAGCTTGAACCATTGAACTAATGAGCAAATTTTCATTATAAAACACGTTAAATTGTTGGTGAAATACAATTGCAGCTCCCAAAAGTTACAGCACCTACTTCGAATCCATAAATTATCTAGATATTCTAAGAACAGAGATCTCCCCATAAGCTATTATGGACAATCCATCATCTTTGATCTTACCATCTGGATCTTGGAGGGAGCTAACTCTTCCTTGGCCAGGAATCATGTCCTGGAGAGGAGGGTCGTTTGGAAACGCTGCTTTCCGATTGGTTGACCAAATAATATTGAGTTTTTCTCAGAAAAGTATATGATTGCCAGAACTCAACTATTTTCTGTAGGAAATCATTATAGTTCAGGTAGCCTACCAAGGCTTTAGGCCTTTATGGAATAGAAAGGACTACACTATTTTCCCTATATCAGAATCAAGGTGTTAAAAGCCCATGGGAATAATGACGTTACAGGTCTTTAATAGTTTTAACCTGTGTAGACGTAAAAAAAAAACGTTTTGTATAAGGATGATCACTTTTTGCTGTGGATCAAGTTATGCACAAAAAATACTCTTTTTAATGCATTTCTTTTAACCCATAGAGTTAGAATACAGGTTCTATAACATGATTAAATATAGTTATATTAGGCTTACTTGTAGTGTCGTACTGGATACCATTGAGCTCGGAAAAACATGGCAGTCTAGCCCAGGTACCCGGCAATGTAGGAGGCCAACACAGCAATTTGTCCCACACTCGGTGACACAACACTTCTGGCTTGGTCTGTTGTGAGCGACGCTCTTCCTCCTCATGACTCTCCAAGAAACACTCCAGTTGCTGGAACCAAGGGTATCATGTCTGCCATTAGGATAAAAGACACTCAGTAGTCTAGCCCAGGTACCTGGCAATGTAGGCCTAGGAGGCCAACACAGCAGTTTGTCCCACCCTCGGTGACACAACACTTCTGGCTTGGTCTGTTGTGAGCGACGCTCTTCCTCCTCATGACTCTCCAAGAAACACTCCAGTTGCTGGAAACAAGGGTATCATATCCGTAATTAGGATAAAAGACACTCAATAGTCTGTCCCAGATACCCGGCTATGTAGGAGGCCAACACAGCAATTTGCCCCACACTCGGTGACACAACACTTCTGGCTTGGTCTGTTGTGAGCGACGCTCTTCCTCCTCATGACTCTCCAAGAAACACTCAAGTTGCTGGAACCAAGAGTATCACAACTGTCATTAGGATAAAAGACACTCAGTAGTGTATCCCAGGTACCCGGCAATGTAGGAGGCCAACACAGCAATTTGTCCCACACTCGGTGACACAACACTTCTGGCTTGGTCTGTTGTGAGCGACGCTCTTCCTCCTCATGACTCTCCAAGAAACACTCCAGTTGCTGGAAACAACGGTATCACGACTGTCATTAGGATAAAAGACACTCAGTAGTCTGCCCCAGGTACCCGGCAATGTAGGAGGCCAACACAGCAATTTGTCCCACACTCGGTGACACAACACTTCTGGCTTGGTCTGTTGTGAGCGACGCTCTTCCTCCTCATGACTCTCCAAGAAACACTCCAGTTGCTGGAAACAACGGTATCACGACTGTCATTAGGATAAAAGACACACAGTAGTCTGCCCCAGGTACCCGGCAATGTAGGAGGCCAACACAGCAGAATTTGCCCCACACTCGGTGACACAACACTTCTGGCTTGGTCTGTTGTGAGCGACGCTCTTCCTCCTCATGACTCTCCAAGAAACACTCCAGTTGCTGGAAACAACGGTATCACGACTGTCATTAGGATAAAAGACACACAGTAGTCTGCCCCAGGTACCCGGCAGTGTAGGAGGCCAACACAGCAATTTGTCCCACACTCGGTGACACAACACTTCTGGCTTGGTCTGTTGTGAGCGACGATCTTCCTCCTCATGACTCTCTAAGAAACACTCAAGTTGCTGGAACCAAGAGTATCACAACTGTAATTAGGGTAAAAGACACTCAATAGTCTGTCCCAGATACCCGGCTATGTAGGAGGCCAACACAGCAATTTGTCCCACACTCGGTGACACAACACCTCTGGCTTAGTCTGTTGTGAGCGACGCTCTTCCTCCTCATGACTCTCTAAGAAACACTCAAGTTGCTGGAACCAAGAGTATCACAACTGTAATTAGGGTAAAAGACACTCAATAGTCTGTCCCAGATACCCGGCTATGTAGGAGGCCAACACAGCAATTTGTCCCACACTCGGTGACACAACACCTCTGGCTTAGTCTGTTGTGAGCGACGATCTTCCTCCTCATGACTCTCTAAGAAACACTCAAGTTGCTGGAACCAAGAGTATCACAACTGTAATTAGGGTAAAAGACACTCAATAGTCTGTCCCAGATACCCGGCTATGTAGGAGGCCAACACAGCAATTTGTCCCACACTCGGTGACACAACACCTCTGGCTTAGTCTGTTGTGAGCGACGCTCTTCCTCCTCATGACTCTCCAAGAAACACTCCAGTTGCTGGAAACAACGGTATCACGACTGTCATTAGGATAAAAGACACACAGTAGTCTGCCCCAGGTACCCGGCAGTGTAGGAGGCCAACACAGCAATTTGTCCCACACTCGGTGACACAACACTTCTGGCTTGGTCTGTTGTGAGCGACGATCTTCCTCCTCATGACTCTCTAAGAAACACTCAAGTTGCTGGAACCAAGAGTATCACAACTGTAATTAGGGTAAAAGACACTCAATAGTCTGTCCCAGATACCCGGCTATGTAGGAGGCCAACACAGCAATTTGTCCCACACTCGGTGACACAACACCTCTGGCTTAGTCTGTTGTGAGCGACGCTCTTCCTCCTCATGACTCTCTAAGAAACACTCAAGTTGCTGGAACCAAGAGTATCACAACTGTAATTAGGGTAAAAGACACTCAATAGTCTGTCCCAGATACCCGGCTATGTAGGAGGCCAACACAGCAATTTGTCCCACACTCGGTGACACAACACCTCTGGCTTAGTCTGTTGTGAGCGACGATCTTCCTCCTCATGACTCTCTAAGAAACACTCAAGTTGCTGGAACCAAGAGTATCACAACTGTAATTAGGGTAAAAGACACTCAATAGTCTGTCCCAGATACCCGGCTATGTAGGAGGCCAACACAGCAATTTGTCCCACACTCGGTGACACAACACCTCTGGCTTAGTCTGTTGTGAGCGACGCTCTTCCTCCTCATGACTCTCCAAGAAACACTCCAGTTGCTGGAAACAACGGTATCACGACTGTCATTAGGATAAAAGACACACAGTAGTCTGCCCCAGGTACCCGGCAGTGTAGGAGGCCAACACAGCAATTTGTCCCACACTCGGTGACACAACACTTCTGGCTTGGTCTGTTGTGAGCGACGCTCTTCCTCCTCATGACTCTCCAAGAAACACTCCAGTTGCTGGAACCAAGAGTATCACAACTGTCATTAGGATATAAGACACACAGTAGTCTGGCTCAGATACCCGGCAATGTAGGAGGCCAACACAGCAATTTGTCCCACACTCGGTGACACAACACTTCTGGCTTGGTCTGTTGTGAGCGACGCTCTTCCTCCTCATGTCTCCCCAAGAAACACTCCAGTTGCTGGAAACAAGGATATCATATCTGTCATTAGGACATAAGACACTCAATTGTCTGCCCAATGTAAAAAACAGTAGGAGACAAACACAATAGGTTTTCACTAAAGTAGAAAAATCAGGCATCGTGTGTTGAGATCGTCATTTCTCCCCTTCTATGTAAGGTAAGCATAAAAGTTGCTGCAAGTGAACGCTATACATATTCTATACTAACAATTAAAAGTTACTGGTTTGTCTTTAAATTTGTATTCAGTAACATCCAAAAGATTGACTTAAATATTTTTGTTTACTTTTAACCTATAAATAATGTGACTCTCTAAGAAACACGAGAATGGTCATAACAAAAAAACGTATTTACTATTATTATTATATTTATTTTACAAGCTTTAAGTTTTAGTTACTACATTTATTGTTCAAATTTTAGTCTCGTCTTGTCTCGTGTAGTTTTGGCATTTTTGCCGGAATTCTTAGCACAAAATTTACTGAAATTTTTCAGAATTCAACCTTCTTTGACCTTCTGGTTACCAGATGAGTGCTATAACCACTCATATACCCTGTCCAGAAGGCCTTCCTGTTTTCTTTTAGTATTTTTTTTTCTTTTTTTTTCAAAACATTGGAAAATAAAACATGTTAGGCTTATGCGTTGAGATTTTTACATCTTATCATATTTAAGACTTTTAGATAGGTAATTCAGATTACGAAGATGAATGCACACGTATTAAACTATTGAAAACTAAAGTATTTTCTTCATATGTTCCTAATTTACGTTATTCATTCATTAATCCTACCTCTTTGGTGAACAACGAGTCATTGAGTATCCTTGCGAAGAGAGCATCTTCGTCCATCCTCATGTCATGGCCTGTAAAAGAATGTATTGATTTGTGAAATTATTTAATTACTTATTTTCTTGTAACTAAAATACAAATGATAAACTGTTAAGTAAAGTAAAATTAATAAAATATAACAGGTTTGGCCATTGCAACCACTTATAATTGACAATTTTAAAGCTTTAACTACTTTACTTGGCAAGAATATTTTTTTCCTAATAGCTAGTTAATTTTAAAGAAAGCAGGGACAATTGTTGTTGATCTTGGGAAGAAAACAAGAAAACCCTCTCCTATCCATTTTAGACTGAATAAAAAAATCAATTAGTTATTCAATTTAAAAACAAAATACAAATTTTTGATGATGAAACTAACAAAATTAAAGAAGAAAATAAAAAAAACTAAAATTTAAACAATTAAAGACGCAGCATAATGGTCATTGCATGATGGGATACGTTATTAGGTAAGTTAGTATTAAAGAACCATTTTCTCTTTTAAAACACGTTTAACTACTCTTGGCATTCTGGTTAAGTAATTAATAATTGTGTGTTTTAGCAATGACTATTAGATACTGAAGTTATATCAAAAGTCGATGGTTTTAGTTTTCAATGATGCTTTCTAAATATAGTTTACTAATGTAATACACATTTAGTAAATCAATTGAAATAAACAACTTTAACAAAAAGATTATCTGGCAATTAGCTTTCTGTAGTTCATTTCAAGTTCGGTCATTAGCCTTATAATTGGATAACAGAGCTTGTTTTCCTTGTTATTTATAATGGCCAGTCAGAAACACAAATCAATTGTTTGTGACGCTTTTATATCAATAAAAAATGTCCTCCAAGACATTTTAAAAGATAATGCCATGTAACGCAATAGTGTTACTATTGTTTTGTTCAGTATGGTTTAAAGAAATATTGTTGTTTTTTTATATTAAAGTATTTGTATTTTAACCACCGGCATTGATTTCATAAGCAGGATAAATTGACAAACCACTAAAATCTATTTTAAGAACCCTTGTCAACATTGTCATTTTTTTTTTTTTTTTTTTTTTTGCCAATACGATGTGAATCGGAAATAGACTTACCCTATTTTTTTATAACTTCAATTCGTGTTTTCACTCTATTACATCCACCGTTTGAAATCTGAAAAATAAAAACAAATCTAAGTAAAAATTACCCATATGAGGGAAAGTTAATAAATATTGTTACAATAATTTTAGTTGAGCTTCAAACGACCTATAATTAATATTCTTCACAAACTTCCGAACCATTGTTCAGACTTAAAACTTTCACCCCCATCGTTAGACTACTGTATTATAAACTATTTGTTTGAGGAACATTGTTGTCTTTTGTCATAGTGATAAATTACAGTACATTACATGTATAAGAAATCCAATATTTTAATTGTAAAGGCTAAAACCAAATGTGTACCCTGAACAAGCAACTGGTGGGAGTGGCCACATGGTGAACTTATTGAGCGAGTCTGAGATGTACATTAATAGTAGTAGTAATCAATCTTGTCCGTAGTTGTTGAGGTGACGTGCGAAAGCTGCGTTTTGTCATGTCCTCTCACTGCCTCTCATGGACTGGTGTCTTCAAAATGTTGTTTAGTGAAGCAAGAAATCAAATTTAAATACAATAGTATGAGTACAGAACTTGTAAAAATTTTGTTTTGTCATTGAACACACTTTTATAACAATCTTTTATCTAACATCCCCAACTAATTATTTTGTATAACAATCATAAGTTAAATCAAGTAAATAAACAATGATAATAAGTACTAGATTATTCTTCACAGTGCTTAGGGGAATTTATTGATCGTTGTTATTTTGACTCACTCAGTATACTGTTCAGTATCCTATTCGACTTGTTTATTAAAATTAAGTAAAACTCCTTGTGAACTCACATCCATTAGGTAAAAAGTTATTAGGCTTATAAAATCTATAGATACCTAAACAATACTAATGGATTTTACAAGTGCATCATTATTGAGTTAAGTAAAAAAGTAACTTTTTTACAGTGCTACCTTAATAAGTATATTTTTCAAATTATCTTTTGCAATGATAAATTCTATGAAATATTTTGCCAACATTTGAGTTACCCATATTTTAGATACTCATGGTAGTGCTTACATAAAAAACAATCACTTGTAACACACTATTTTAATATTAATTCCGGAAAATCTAAGCAGCTGAAATAACAATGTAATATCAAGCTTCGATCTAGCTAAACAGCATTAATTATACATTAATAATATCATTCAGCCAAGTTGAGTACGTATAACAACGGTCTCTAGGGCAATACTGTGCTGGGTAGAATATTAAATGCTGGTCAGAGTTTGTGCAAACCTTGCAAGTTTAGATATCAAGGAAACTTTTATATATTTAAATATACAGTATATGACGTACAATACGTAGAACTACTAAGTGCTAGAATGTGTGTTTTAATAGTCATTGAGTAATTAATGTCCTTTTTCCATTCGTGCTAATTACAATTTTTAAGATGTGGCCTTTCACTGTGGCCAGTTTGTTTGTATTACAACTCAAAATCCATTATTGTTTGAAAAACTATAATAATTTAAGAAAGTATTGTTTGGTTATATTTTATTTGGTAGGAATATTCAAAAATATACATGTCCTGCACATATACTGATATAAAGTGAAAATAATTTCGATTGAATATGGAAACCTTACTAATTATATAAATTTAAAAAAAATATTCTCAGAATCTTTTGTGGTATTTTCTCAGGTGGTAAATATAACTGTTATTAGTTATTAAATTACCGTTTGAAAATTGGAAATTCTGACACTGCACGTTAGTACGTAGTTAGCAATAACTCTGTAATCCTAACTAATGCGATGTAAAGTAATGCCTCATTATGTAATCTGCTGGCACCCAGAGGTATTAACATTGATGGTGTATCGGCCAGATGCATAAGCCAGCCTAAGTTATGTCACGGGAACTACTGTATAATGGCCACCAGTGAATTAAATACACGTATCGATACGAGGTAAGGGTTCAAAACGCATGTTTAGCTTAGCAACAAACTATGTTAGTTTCAAGAAACTATGTATTTAGAGTTTAATGATAAATTTCCATTGGCCACTTAAATTATTCTGACCTAATAGGTAAATGTCCAATGGATTTTATCTAAGTGATAATGCCGCAACCCCTAGGTCTAGCCTGAAGTAAAGTGAAAAATAATCCCATGCTCGTGCGTAGTGTCCTAGGACCGAAATATATATATATAATATATATATATATAATATATATATAATATATATATTTATAATATATATATTATATATATAATATATAATATATATAATATATATAAATGACAAATCCAACGCTGATCACGAAACTGTGTAAAAAATGTATATTGATTTATTTATTTAGAGTGTGTGTATACCCGCATATACTGAATTAGAAAATGCATACTGTTCTGTTCCACAAGATTCTAATATTACATTGAACGATTCTTGCATGAAATGACCCCATCAACGATTCTGAACATGCATTTTCTTTTGCTTTTGGCAGTTAGGTGATTGGTGTTACTTTATATACTTAGCACAAGTCCCTTTCTTCCTTCAATTTCTAATATTGTCAATGTTTTCGTCGTAAAACATATTGCTTTCAAAAGAAAACTCATGCTTTCAACGTAATGGCAAACTTTCAGATCGTCAGTCATTCTTGCCTTATGATGGTTGACTTTACTAATATCATAATTTTCTAGATACTAAGTCATGATTTTTTTTATACATTGATCCAAGATCAGTATTGTATTGTTAGATAATTTAAAGGGGCGATCGATGGACATGTTATTTCTACTGGTCTACTGGTTCAACATAGGACTTAGTAACCTGACATTGTCTAAGCGACTGGCTACTAACGTAACCCTTTAATACAAATCCATTTATATGATTGTTAAGGGAGTGGCTGGTCTAGTGGCCAGAGTAAAAATGTTTTTTAACTTTGTTTCTTCATAATATTGCCAAACGGCTTAATCATTTTCAAAATAAACTTATCACTTTATAGAGAGTGAGTTATTATCGAGTATTACAAATTATTAATTATCGAGAGAGCATTCTCAAAATTTTGAACAATGTTATTCATTAAAAGGAATAAGAAAATTGGCAAAAGACGCACCAGAATTGAAATTAAGACAGCTTGAGCAAGCTCATCAATTAATACTTCAATCTAAAACACCTTCCGGTCTAAATTTGAGATAGTATATATATACATATATATATATATAATTTTTTTCCTTTCTTTCTATCAAAACATTTTCTTTTTTATTTCTTCATAAATTATATGTATTTTGTATTTTTGCTAAAACCATATGATTCGGAGTGGTAAACACTTCTATTTGTTATTGTGTTTGTTCCTGAAGAAGGCTAATGCCGAAATATAGAAATATTTAAAAAAGTGTGTGATATATTTATTTTTTAACTTTGTGATATTTTCAGTTTCATAGTGTTATAAAATCTACTACTATTACACCACCACTTTTACACACAATTCAGTGGAAAGTAAGTTTCTCTAAATAGGATATTTCGGTTAAAAATGTTTAATATTATTGAATGTACAATAAACTTAACACAAATGGTCCAACAAATTGACCAACTCGTCTTCGACAGAGTCTCTATGCATTTAATAAGAGTCATACATTTGTATAAATTAAAATTTGTGGATAAGATTAATTTTGAAAAACAGCTGCAATGTTTCTTAGTTACCAAATCATTTGATTATTTTAATTACTTCTTAGTCCCTAATACAGTGTAAGCTATTTGAACAATGTACACAAACTAATTGTGAATGACCCACAAACTAGAGTTGGGCTGTTTTCGGGAATTTCACCAAAGAAATGGAACCACTTTTTCATTCAATATGAGAACCCGGTCCTTACTGCACCAAAAAGGAAGAGCATTACGTGTTTAGGAGATTTAGGCCTACCCTCCATTGTCTTGCCATTGGGTCATTGGAGAAACTTTTTATATTCCTGAAGCAAAATTTTCCTCTAATTTCTCATCTCGGTAAATAATATTATGTTATGAACCATCACATAATATGCTGCTTAAATATTTATTTAACAGCGTATATGTAGATTTAGTTCAAAATGGACTTTTTGGATGGAAACTGTAAATCTTATTTTAATTTAGGAAATCAGAATAAAAGAGTAAAGAGTCAGAACATAAAGTAGTGCAGAATTATCACGTAAAGCCCACAATTTGTTACATAAGCGATCTGTCATTGATCAAATCGCCCGTACAATCCCACCAAATCCCCCAACAGTTTGGTACAATAACTGTTTCATTATTCATACAGGCTACAGTGTTGTTTTCCCCTTGAGTTGAATCCTATGTAATGCTGAACCGTTGGGAATACGTGATGCATTCGATATATGTTGCAAGATATCGTATGCATTTTTGGAGGATTTAGTTTCCGTACACCATGATATAAATGTATATTGAGGGAATAACAATTTCCTGATAGGGATTTTGTTTTCTGGTAAGTGGGACATTAAATAGTGGATTTTTTTTTTATAATAGTATTTATTATTTTAATATTTCTATACAATAGAAAAAGGTTAATGTTGAAGTATGGTTAAACGTGGAGTAGATGCAGAAGAGAATAATGTAGTTCTTCTAAATACTCTATAAATAGTAAAGTAGAACCCCGATAACATGATCCTCTATAACGAGTCACCCTCAATAACAAGTGTCACTTTCAAATCCCTTTGAATTTATTTTACCCCTAATCACATCTTACTGGGGAGAGAGCTGGTGTAGTGGTTAGAGCACGGGACTTCAGTCCCTGAGCTGGTCCTGGGTTCGAATCCCGCCAAGTCACCAATGGATTTTATCTAAGTGATAATGCCGCAACCCCAATACCTGATGTAATGTGAAAAACAATTCCTGGCTCGTGCCTAGCATCCTTGGACAAAAAATCACATCTTCCTGCAAACATCGATGAGAAGTCAACCTTGATAACAAGTATTTTTTTTTTAACTCTAGGTGAGTCCTGTTATCGAGATTCAACAGTAACACCAGTTTACCACTGATTTCAAGCTTCTTGTGTTTGGGAGAGAGTGTATCAAAACTAATATCAAACATATACATTTGTC